GAGGTGGTCCAGGCGGCGTTGAATGAGAGCATAATCCGGGTCTTTAGGCGGACGCTTGGCTGGTGAGCGGGAACAGCTCCTGCGCGACTTGTGTGATGTTTCAGGAGAACTGCTGGCACGATGATGTCTTGACGGCTGTTTGTCGTTCCGCAAAATGGACGAAATCTGAGTCATGAGATTAATCATCGAATTGACTATCAGCTCGCTACTATCGTTGATCTTCGATTCCAAGTGACGGATTTTTGCTCTACTAACTCCGTGAGTTGGAGTAACTTCTGAGTAGTAATGTCTTCGGTTCGTTTTGCCTTTTCTTCGAAAAGCATCGATTCGATCCCATGTAACTTTCTTAGAATGGATGTGACATCCGGAGACTGCTTCGTTGTCGTAGTGTCTCCGTTGAGTCTTTGGGGGAGTTTTTTCAATGTCGTCAAGTTTCGTGTTGATTTTTTAGGTAGTTTCGGTAACATATGGACCTTGTTCCTCTTTCTCGATGTATGGGTTCAAGAAAGGATCAATGGTTAAAAATTCTAGTGTGCATTGAGTGTTCTTGAGTTCGTTCAGCTGGTCCCGAATGATGTCGCTGTTGGCTTCTTTGGAATTGGGACGTCCTGCAACTCTAGGTCTTCGCTCGTATGTCTGTCCGCTGAAGAAAACAAGAGGATCGTCAGTGGTTAATTTGACGTAGACCTGTCAAAGGAGGCACGAGACGACTTGAACTTGTTCCCAACGTTGTTTCAGGCAATGGATCGTGGCTAGAAGTTGTTCTTCGTATCAAATAGGGGTTTTGCTTTAGCTGGTACCGGCTCATAGTGACTGGCATTTCGTTTGAGCTCTAAAGTCTTCGTTTGCAGCTCGCGTCCGTGATCGATGAGGTTGGAAATTTCTTCGTAAACTACTTCTAGGCGTCTTTTCAATTCGTCTTCATCGAACATTGATCGACGTTCGGCAAACTTGTGGAGGAACGAGTCAACGAACTGGTGTTGTTCCTGTTGCATCCTGAAAATAACCGTATTCGATTGGATAACTGGTTTTTCGTCTATACTAATGGAGTTGATTTCGCACTTCGGGGCTGTACGGGTAGTAGAGGGGCTAGAGGGGCTTCGTTTGGGACGTTCCAGGTTTTCGGGTGCGGGTTCGCTTGGAGGTTCACTGAATGTAGGTGTGTGTTCGTTGATTGGTGACTGTTCATACCCAGATTTCGG